GTCTCCTTGGCAGAACACAAGTTCAGCCAGTGCTAAGAGGATGTGCTGATGTGCAGTTTATGAATTTTGCTCTCTGTGTTTAAAGTTAGATTTTGACTACAGCTACTTTGTCAGGGCTTGCTGTAAGATGCCAGAAGCCCAAGTTCATCTCTGTTAATAAAAGTTTACTTTTTTGTCTGTCTTTGCACTGTGGCAACAGCAAAGAATTTACACCTGGAGCTTCATATGCTAGATGGAAAAACCTCACAACTTTTACTAAGTAGAATGATTATAACTCAGGGAGGAAGAAACAGATTGCAAATGAGGGAACATGAAACATGGACTAATTTAGGCCTGAGTCATGAGATGCAGAAGCAGAACACTCTCAAGCTTCAATCTTTTTGTATCGGAAGACCTTTGTTTATTGAAATTGTACATAATTAATTAATCAGAAAGTAATGTTCAAGTCTGAAGAAACCTTCTACCTTCCCCGCAGAGAAAGGTGCCTCATTGATGGGATAAGTGACACTTTCTCCAGTGAGACAAGAAGTACTGTACCTGCTTAGATCACTGCCTTCCAGATCCCCTCTCACACCTCCTGGACACAGCTGTGGGTTGTTTTATTTTCTACTCCAAAGGTTATACCACTCTCTCTTTACCTGAACTCCAGGAACAACATAAAATAAATTGGAGAAGTGGGCAGTGTCCCTGTCCACGGCAGGGGGTTTGGAACTAGATGATCTTTAGGATATTTTCTAACCCAGACTATTCTATGATCCTATGAAATAAGAAGTGCTAACACCATCCCTTTGTACCTGGTACCGCTGGACTTGCTGCCACAGGTGCTGCCACCTCCCAAGGGTCTGTGTCTCTCCTCCCCTGCATCCCCTCGGCCATCCCATCTCTGCAGCACTCTCCCATGGCAGTTTGATCAGCTGCTTCCGTGACATGAGCTACAGTATGGCACTGACAGGAATCCAGGGCTCTCAGAGACTTTGTGTCAAAGCTTAAGAAACTGGGCTTCTTGTTAAAAAAAAAAAAAAAAAGAAAGAGAGAGAGAAATGGGTAAGACATTTTAGGGAATATATTCTGTCTTTTAAAGAGCCCAGCTCTTGTTTCAGCTGCCAGAATCCTCTTACTTTTTCAGTTTCCTATTATCTTTATTTCCTTCTTTCTTTGTTTCTAGGCTGTGGATGTTTAAAGTGTCTCAGCCTCTTTCTTCAGCTCCTAAGCAGTTTTTATAGGTGCCTGTGTTCTCCCCAAGGATTCCTTAATTTGCCACTTCCCCTTATGGCTATGGCAAAGCCATGCTATATTCTTGTCTTCCTTTGTATCCGAAGTGAGGAGAGGGAGATATTTCCCAGAAGAATAAATATTCTGCCATAACAGGTTGGTGCAAGGCTGGGCCCCCGATGTGGTGGTAGGCAATGTCAAGAATACCTTGTACTTACACACGGGAATGCACACAGCTGAAAGGAAAGGCTGTACCACACAATACAAAACTTCCAAGGGCTCATTTCTGCAGCTGGATTTTAAGCTCGTGCTGCAGATGAGTTTTATGATATTTGCTTGTTTGTGTTTTCTCCTCTGTGTTAATGTATATTATCTCCACAGCCACTAATTCTTGATATAAATGATGCTAAGCAGTAAAGTATGGTCCATTAACTTGATTTTTAAAAGTATCTAAAATTTACGCAGTGATTTAAATAATAATATAAATTATATTAAGCATGTGCAGCAGCAGAGGGTACGGCCTCCTAAACAGAATGAATTTCTCCTTGGAGAGCACTGATTAGTTCATTTTTCCTAATGAATCTTTCGTTATAGTCAGAAGTTCCTTTCTTTCCCCCTCACTGTCTCACTTATGAAGCATGCATATGTATATATGTATGTTCCATTTATATATTTGAGAGCTAGATTAAGTAATATCCTACTTCACCTCCAGAAAGGGCACAGCACTTCTCAAGGAGGCAGCTGCATTTCTTAGGAGGGGGAAACTGAGGCCAAGGCACTCCAACCTCCTCAACCTGCTCAATCTATGGGTCAGCCACTTCCAAGCATATAATTCATGGCTAAACTACACTCTGCAGAAAAGTGGATGGATACTGCTGCTTCTCTCAGTGCAATTTATTGTTGAGGCCAATTAGAGAGTGTTACCCATTAAGACTGATGTAGCCAGCATTTCTCCCACCCTGTCAAAAAAGTGCAGCAGATGGTTTTGCACTGCCTTCTCCAGCATCCAGTGATGCCCCCCTGCTTCAGCTCTGCCCTCACTCTGCATATTCACACCCTTCTCCCCCAAGGCAGGGTGAAGGAGAGAGAAGTTCCCCCTTTCCCTCATAAGTGCTTTACATGCTCCTAAAAGACAGGTTGCCATCTGGCCTAATGAGCTTTGGAACAAACTGCCTTTAAGACAACTTTCGTTTACCTGCAGTGACGCTCCTTTGGCGGTTGTTTACCAGCACCCCGGTCAATTAGGCTGTAGTTAAAGATTCATCACAGTTGTTGGTTTTTTCCCCTAGAAATATCAGTGTAGGTAGTGTTTTCCAATAAGTGGACATTAATTCATGCTGAATTACAGTGGGATTCCCAAGAAACTACATATGAATACTGAAAGAAATCATTATGATTAATGATATAATTTATATGTGCATGTTGATGAAAGAATCATAATCTAGAGTAAATTAGTAGAGATTTATGTACTAATAATTTTGTTGTGCACTAAGGTCCAGACAAAAACCAACTAAGTGATGTTGTATTGACAGCCAGTTCATATTATCACATCTTAAAGGGATAGTATAATAGTATCAAATAAACAATTTCTAATGTATATTAACTCTATCTCACTTTCCCCCCTCCCATATTCTATATTTATGGCATTGATAGGAGTAAGGTTTCATCCCTTTCATCTTCACATACATGCCAAAGAGTCAGTGTGAATGAGATGACTGAAAATATTTAAACAGTGCTCATTGCACAAGCTGGAGTGCAACTGCAGCTGAGGGCAGTATGGGCCTCTCAAAACTCTGTGTGGCAGAGGCCATGCACCAGTGTCACACAGTCACTTTGGGGGGTTTGAAACGCCAGCTCATGGTAAACACCCAAAGGGCATTACTTAATATTCTGAAGAGATGGTTGTGAATTGTTTTACATTAATCACTAAAGCGAATGTTTACAAAATGCATCTCTGTATAATAACTAACTTACTAATCTTACTTCTGAAATTCTTATGGAAAATAGAAAGTGGAATGTAAGTGAAATTATCTATTCCAATTTATTTTTAAAAACAAGGATAAATTGCTGATCTAGAAAAATCTGCAATTTTTTTTCCTAGGGTGCTCTTAGTACTTAACCATACTTTTCAAAAATTTTTTTAAAGAAGTGGCATAATCTAGTCAAAATAGTCTTATGTTTTTGTAATAAGATACATTATCAATCTATAGCAACTCAGAGAGCCTAAACTGTTTGCAGTTTTCAAGAAGAAAACATCCCCTGAGCTATGTGACCGAGACTGTAGTGATGTGATCCAACAGCAGGACTACTACTGTACATTAGTAATTTAAACAAGATCCAGACTTTTTCCTCCTGTACCTCCCCTTTTAAGTTATGTATTTTAACTTTTTGCTGCTGGGGACATAGTTTTGTAGCGCAAAACTCAATACTAGAGGCAATATTTAAATTTTATACATGCTTGGACATATTTGTTCATAACAAAGCCTGCTGGAGGAATTAACTCTCTTCTACAGGGAACCCAATGTGAATTTACAAAGGAGAAATTACTAATAACAACATTTCTAATGAAAACCAGGCTGTGTCTAGCCATTTTACCTAGCTATTACTTACGGAACCTGTAGCCACCACTAGATGCTCTGCAGAATACCTAATTTTCAAAATCCTCACTTAAACCTTAATTCAAGGGAAAGACCTCTTGATCTTACAAAAGGCATTATTGCCAGAGATTAAACTGCTTGATGCTATGTATTGTTCTAGTTGTAGTCAAGAGGGAATATTAATTGAGATGTTCCATGGATTACAGTGTGTATTCCACAGTGGTTCACATGTTTCCTGGTGGTCTTTCCAACAGGAATGGCATAAATGAGGGTAATAAGACGGATCATTTTGAACCTTAGTTGTTAAGCCATTGTTCTGTTGTGCACAAAAGGTAATGCTTGGTTGATTTGCTTTATTTCTGAGCTGTTCTGACTTTTTCCCTGTGCACCTAATCTCTGCCACTTCCTCTGTGAGTCATCAGCAGCTGGACCCAGTGAAACCACAGGAACTAGCTCCTGGTAAAGAGCTCTAATGGTGCTATTACTCAAGTTCAATTCTCTTTAAGCCTAGTAAAGAAGCATCATGAGTCATATGGTACAGACAAGAGTTCTTTTGCATTTGCTTCTTTAGGAAAATCAAAACCCATGTCTTGCTTTTTCAGAGTGATTACAATGGATGTCTCTTATACCTGTCTCACTCTGCCTGTCCTTTGCAGCAAGGATGAAGTGTCATTTTCCTTTCAAGTCCTCATTATTTTTTTCTTGTACTTAACAGCTGCACTGCCTATAATTTAAAGACAGTTCTTAAAAATGAAACAAAACAAAAATTCACCACCATTTAGCTTTCTCCTTTCTGATCATTTTCATTGCACAGAAGTGCAATGTGATTCACACCTCCGATTCAGCTGATTTGATTAGTTGCTGCTGCCACACACCTGCTGCCGTCACCACAGTAGTCTGTATTTGTGGCATACATTCCTGCTGTCTGACAGAACAGGTGGATATTGTATTGTAGACTGAAAAGAAGGGTTGGAATCGTAATTGTTCTGCATCCTTGCTTACACAAACTCAGCAAAAGTTGGGTCTATGAAATGAGTCTTATGATTTGCCTTCAGTAAATAGAGTGGTCAAGCATCTTATTTTAAGCTAAAGCCAGATTTTTAACTTCAGGAGAGAATAAACTCCTCAGATGAACTTTACAGTAAAATGGCTGGAAATTTTTTATAACTTTTTAAAATTTCTGATTCTCAGGCCTTTCTATATAAGACAATTTGAAGACTTCAGAGAGCGCTGGGGGATCTCTTTGACTCTTGGTAGGAGTTCCCTTCCTCTCCTTTAATTAAAACAAGTCATTCTTAACATTTAAAAATGGTCCTTATTAAAAGAATGTCTCAGTTATTATCCTCTCAGACTAGCGTTTTGCCTTCTGATGAAGTCTTGCATGCTGGTTGAAGGAGGTTTACTTGAATTGTAATGCAGTGCTGCTCAGGGATGGATATTCTATGGCAATCTGTAACACTGGGCAGCAGGAGAAGAAATGGAGTCTGCTTTCAGAATATTGAATGGGGGGCAGTATTTGGCAGTTGAAAAAGATCTTCACGTGAAGTGTAGGGGTACCTCTGACCATACAGGTCTTTGAATTATCCTTTAAACATGAAATGGGAAGAACCCAAAAATCCCACATGCTACCCAATTCAAAAGTATTTCAGTAAAAAACTGAGGAACAGTACAAGTGCAAGGAAACCTCCCAAGGAGAGGTAAAATGCAATTGTAGTCTCTTTAAATCAGAGAGTTTATTTATTAGCACAGTTGTATTTTAATAAATTAAGGGCTCCAGTATAGACACTCCCAAGTTGTAACCCACATATCACAAGAGAACGCTACGCCCTGATGTGAGCCTGTGCAGAGCTGCAGGCTGAGGCTGCTGATGGCAGTACTTGACAAGAAAAAGTTTGAAAATCATAGTCCTAAGGAATGAGCAGTTTTCCCTCTCATTCAAGATAATTTTTAGGCAAGTAGTGTGCCTCATCTAAAGGACACACATTATTTCTCTGGTTTGAACAAAACCAAATGTTTTGATGTTTTCATACAATAAATGCCATCTAAATACCAATTTACCAGAAGTGCCAAGATTTAAAATTGATTACTTCTGCCTATTTCTCCAGCTAGCTAATAAATTTGCAGCATATTGCAAATCATGGCTGCATAGAGGAAAAATCCAACAAATATTTGAAGACAATATTGTGCACATTTTTAATATGCACTTCTTCAAATATGCACATCTAAGGTGCTGTGTTATGGAAGAATTTTTCTTAAAGCAGGAAAAAAGCATAATGAGATAAAATTTTAGGCAGACTATGATTCTAAATTTTGGAAGTTTCCATAAAGTATTATGGCATCTATTTCAAATTAATATTTCATTAAACTACTTTCATGTGCTATCTTTAGAATGATTAATTTGATATGTTATTTCAGGTTTTACCTTTTATCTATGCAGCCCACATTAGTGTTTTGGAATCATGGTACCGATGATTTTTCAACTCTCAGGTACATAAGAGGATAGGATGGAACCAAAGAGCTTTCAATTTTCATCCAGTTCTAACAGATGTATTTGATTTATAGTAGAAGCTGGTTTCATACTCTTAAAAATGTTGTAAACAATTTGCAGCTGCTTGATTTTTTGATGCCATCATAAATATTCATGAACTTTTTCCAAGATCTACAACTATAAGGTGACCTTAGACAAAAAAAAAAATAAAATCAGACTTGCGTGGCACAGAGTGTTGTCATTGCTTTTTCACCTTTCTAAGAACTACAGAGACAGCTGCAAAGTCTGAGCTCAACATCACATACAAGGTTTCTGGCAAATGTAATGCCTTGTTTTTTAAACAGAAACAATGAAAAGCCACTGAAGCTATGCTAGCAGAGAGCCTGATGACACCGTTTGGCATGAACACAGTGGCCTGGCAAGAAGTCACTGGGTCTGAAATCAACAGCTCTGAACGTGACCTTTAATAATGTTAGTAAACATTTTTCAGCATGGCATAGCACAGTTTTCTGACCATAATGGAAAGGAAAGGGAATGACTGCCAGAAAACGGATGGAAGTATTAAAAAAAACCCAACCAAACAAAAAAACCCAAAACTAACAACAACAAAAAACAAACCCACACAAACAAACAAACAAAAAGAAAAGCAAAATTGGCAAATCTAACTATTCTGTTTGCAAACCTATTAAATGTTCAGCAATTAAAACTGACACTAAAGCATACAAAAATATTACTTTGTGTCATATCACACGATAGGATACTGTATTATTATAACTTTATGTAAGTAACAGGTACACTTTGATCACCCTTCAGCAAAGCTCTCTCTGTTTCTTTACCCCCTTGAGATTTTCGCCTTCAGTATTTTCACAAACTAACTAAAACATTTGTGTTTCAGGTGAAAGTTTTATGGTTTTTAGGACCAATTGTAGAGAGTATAGAGAGACAGTAATTGCATCAGTATCTCAAGCCAGTCAGATAAGCTGGGGATGGGAAGGTAGGGGTCCTGACTAAAATGAGAAGATGTAAGAAAATACTTGAGAAGGTGCAATAATTCCACTCAGGAAGATGCAGGACTTTGAGGGTGTTGATCTTCAGTGGCATAAATTGCTTAAAGTGATTACACCATCTTGCCTTAAATATTTGGGTCCTCTGATATGTAATTTAAGTATGGCCTATATGACTGAGATTTCTAATGATATATCTCAGCAAGTAATGACTAAAATGACACATTAGTGACAAAACCCGGGCTTTGTCCCAAAATTCATAGAACACCTTTTATACTAACACACTGCAGCCACAACACATATTTTTCCTGGAGTATTCACAAGGTTTAAATAAATTATAGGTAATATTTTCATAAATGCACATATGATTTAGAAATCCATGCCCCATTTTTTAAATTGAAGGAAAGTGTTTAAAGTGATTTCAAAGGGATTGAGGTGATGAAACACTATAAAAAGAATCCTACTAAGCTTCTCTTACATTCAGTATCTGACCATAAATGCTTAGATGTCCCTTTGAAGGTCAGGCAGATCTGATGTACTAAGCATCCCAGTTGCTTTCAGAACTGTGAATTAGACCCCTAAATAACATAAGTGATTTTGAAAACGAGATCTAACAAAATCCTGTAGATATGTTGGGTTTAGTAAAGGTATCTGAAAGACTCACCTCAAAGTCTTAACAGCTTTAGGAGCCCTTGACAAAATCCCATAGTCTTCCTGTATCAGCACCAGAATGTAAACTGAGTACAGTCCTGTAAACAGCAAGAACAATATAAGTTGATCTGTTTTCATTGTTTATTCCCGAAATACCACGCAGCCTGAAAGAAAAGTTAAGAAAAATCCAAATAATTTCAGAATTCCCTTATACTCAGCAACATCAATGTCACATGGCTGGCTCAAAACCGAGCAGCACAGAGAAAATTGCACCACAACAATGCCATCACTACTGCCCCTGCTTTCAGGTTTCAGAAAAGTTGTACTGAGACTAGAGAGAAAGCTTTGACTTCAAATAAAGAGGTTAGGAATAATCTACTGAGAACTGAAACACGTTTATACTTTGATATATTTCTATATTTTTTTTCAAATGTGAAGTCTTTTAAGAGAAGACAGTGACATACGCATTATACATTGAACTGATCATTCCTTTTTATTGGACTCAGTACTCCAATATGAAAAGTCTGAATTTCTTTTTTCTCTCTGTGTCTTTAATACAATTTGTCTTATGCCTAGAAAGCCTGGAGAACTGGTGCAATAAATTAAGGAAACATATTTGACAAATAAGTAGACATTTTCCAAGTCAATTTTAAAGTGTGTATATGAGAATTTTTCATGACAGAGAGCACTATTTTGACAACAGAATGATCTAAAGAGAGAGTTCATTGTTGGAAGAAAATTAAGGGAGTACCTCTGCTTGATTTTCCACTACAGTATTAGTCAGGTAAGCCTTATCCATCTGAGAGTGCTCTGGATGGTTGGATGCATTATTTGTTAGTGTTTCCTGTACCAGACACAGGCAGCATGAAACACTTGGGTAGAAATGTGGTTAATATGGAACCATGCCTGGGTACTTTTATGATTTTTCCCCTTAAGCACCTAAACCACACTTTTATGAAAGCTACTTTTGGAGCTGGATAAACTGCACAGAGAGATATTTTATTTTAAAATAAAATAAAAAAAATAATCAAGCCTGATTCTCAGCAAGTCATATCCTTTTTACATTTCACAGACATGACATGTCACCAGGAAATGGTGCGACTCTTGGTTACATTGGCATGTCATGTTACAGTACATGAGAAAACATGATGTGCTGACATACCCATGCATGACCATTATCTGAATGACACGTTAAATTCTGGCAGTTCAGAAGGAGGCACATTTAGGTCTCAGCACACATATTTGCATATATCATAATCTACACATGCAAAGTGTAAAAGATTGGAAAAAACACAAAGGAAATAGTGCGATCATGAAGTTAAATCATGCTTCATCCAAATTCACTTCTCAGTCTGCCCTTATATTGTACATGCAGAGCGCTGGGCACAGTCCCTAACTGATCATCTATGCAAAACAAACCTCAAACAAATATAAATAATTATCTTGGAATACTAGAAGAAAACAGAATCACTTTTTTTTACCTTCATAGCTGTTACAGTTGATCTTTATATTTTACTCATTCTCGACTTTTGGTGTGCGTTAACATCTGGGACTCATCACGCCATCCGGCATTTCAGCAGAAATGATGTCACTGGTGCCAAATACTTTGACAAACATGGCTACTGCATAAATCCAAAGAACCGAAAGACCAGACAAATTATGTTTACAATTAGAAACAAAATGAGCCGCTTGTATCATAAGTTTAAGTACGTTAAACACGGACTTTCTTTCCAGAAAAAAGACATTGACTGAAAACTGTAAAAGCAAGCATTTCTTTTTTTTTCCCCTCTCTCTGACAGTCTGGAGGAGCTTTTGATCTTCCAGTGTCCATTACAACCTTGGGGAAGGTTAAGTTAACCCTTTGAACAAACATTCTTACCAGCATCCAATTCACCCCAAGTAACTTAATCACCAGCTAAATTGAATTCAAACTGCTCTAGAGAACATGAACTGACATAACTTAGCTCTGATGAAAAGGAAATTAAAAGGGCTAAATCTGATGCTGACATGCACTGAGGGGCACAAACTCCTGATTCCAACTTTGGAGACAGCAGGCAGTGTGATTTTGTTGCACAGAAGTGTTGGCCTAGGTGCAAGTTGTGTGCCAGTCATGCAGAGACCCACGACAACGACTTCCTCTTCCAGTGCTGATTGGAGGGCAGAGTAGGACAGGACAGCAACAGAGGACACCCCTGTGCAGCTCTGTCATTTCCCACCCTGGTGAGGGACTGCAGAAAGCATTTCAAGTACCATCCCTTTTCTTCCTGTGCACCCATCCAAAACCGAGCAGGCTTTTCAAGAATTGTTTTGTTAAAGATGTAATTCAAAAGGGAATTATTCAATTTGGTATTGACCACTCCCACCAGGAATTCATAAAAGCAGCACAGCTTTACCAGTCTGACAGGGTAGGGACGCAGGAGACTCCAAGGACACAGGTTTATCAAGCACAGTAGCATTATAAGCTCTGCATTTCTCTGCTGTGCACCTACCCTTACAGGAGTTGTGATCAGTGATTTCTCCAAAAAGAGTGTAAACAAAAGAGGATGATTAAAGGAGGCAGAGAAGCACCAGTTCCTGCTATCAGGCCTAAACCTGGCACTGAAGCAGTTCCAAGGGGTGATAATTGCACGGGGAATTTCTGTGACATAGACACTAATTCACATTATATTCAGCTTAATCATGTAACCACCAAACAGCTGTAAGCAAGATGGGATGTACATACCAAGATATGTTCACTACCTATAAAAGACAGACAGTGATCTTAGCTGAGACTTATCAGTCTCTATTTAGAAAGCAAGATGTTCAATGAAAGACGAGATTCTAGTTTATAAATAAAATGGCAAATAACCAAACAAATCACAGCACAGCAAAGGTGGCAGATAAGCATTTGAGTCCTTTAATCACACTGCTAATAAAGGTTGAATAAAATTAAGTCAACCTTCATTTATTGTACCGGCCAAAGTACAAGCTCAAATATTAAGCTAAAGTATTATTAACTCAGCTTTCAGCTGGCTCCAAAAGCATTCATCTGCACTTGATATTGGTGAATACTTTCACACCACCAACTATTACTTTCAGCCCTCAGGTATAACATCTTGCACCCAGAAGTAGCAGGAACACACCAATATTTTCTCCCCACACGCAGAAATGTTAGCCTTGATACAACTACAATATCTCTTAACCGTGCCAGTAATTCCCTTTTGCTTTCTACCACATGCCTTTGTGTAGAATCCCTGTGATAAAATTAAAAGGACAAGGAGCTTTATAAAAATGAATAATCCTACTGAACATGCAATCAATTAACCGAAACACAGAGATGGATATTTTCTGAAAGCTCCTTACAGGCTCTAGATAAACACAGTGAGATAACAATGGAAAATTGTTTGGCTTACTAATTGTAACCAAATGTATGCCATCCTATCAAAACATTCTCAGGAGGATGTCAAAGACTTTTTAAAGTAAACATTTTGTGTCATCCTTTTACTGAAGTGGAACAAGGGTCTCCAATAAAAATCCTACATATCAAGGAGACTCAAAGAGGTTTATATATGTGTTACTGATCTTTGAAAATGCAGCTTGAGAGGTACATTAATAATTTCACCCAGCTGGGCAATAAACATTCTTGCCAAAACAATTATGTAAAATTACATAAACCCTTTTTAAAGAGAATAAGTTACAAGAGGGCAAAGTATAGACTGAGTTACTTCACTTTTTTTTTTTTTTTTTACAGCTGTGTTTTATGGAAAGCATTTTAGTGTGTAAAATCTCTGTCCTTGTAAAATAATCCAAAGAGAGGCCAAAATTCAAACCTTTCTGTAATGCAGAATTTTAAAATATTAGAAAAGTTTAGCAGTGAGAAATAAACAAACCTCAACCAAATAAAAAAGCTTTTCACAGCTGAAGCAATAGATAAAATAGCAAAGAACAGCTAAAGGCAAACACTTCCATCAAGGCATACTTAAACCTTTAAATACAATACACATCCAAGGGGAACTACCAAATAGTTAAAGCATTCAATCATTCTTAATTTGTGGATTACAGTGTTGGACTCCTCTGCTGAAAAGTAAAAAACAGTTAAAATCTCCCATTTTTCAAAAGAACCCATACGTTGTAGCAATGGATCCAATCTTGGAACTTCCACTAGCAAAAAACATTCAAGAATATTCCTACCCAAACTTCACAGGAGAGCATGGTGCTTAAGCAAGTAAGCAAAAATTAAGAAAATTAAGGATAAACAGAAGTATTTTGATAGATAATAAATAAAGTTGCTCTACAGAAACTGTATTTTATGGATAATTCATACAAAATTTCAAAGATCCTGGGAAAAATTAAGAGAGATTGCTAGGTACCAACTTATTTCCCATAGTTCTCTATCAGTTCTGACATCTGAGAATGAAGGCTGCAGGAAAAGTTCCTAAAACTATTGGGAAAACTAAGCTAGAAGAGGCTCAGACTGCAACTGGCTGAATTATCAGCCTCAGGAAGGCAGGGATGCCATAACATTTGTTCTCTTCATTCTCTTTTCTTCTTCTAGGCAGTGAACAGACTAAACTGAGAAGTACAGAAGTGTGAAAAAATTGCAAACTTTCTTCTGGTCCTTTTATCCTTCAGAAACCTAACTATCTGCAAAAACAGAAGAAAAATCAAAGCACAGCATAAAAGTTTTAGCATAAGAACAACTGGATAAGAGCAAAGGTCTCTCAGGCAGAGTCCTACTTCCAGCAGCAGCCAGTGGCAGAGGAGGGAGGAAGAGGAGAATAAGCAGGCTTGTACATAAAGAGTCCTGTGCTTGCCTGTACTTCCCCAACCACTGGCTGCCAGCACGCTTGGGCTTCCTTCAGTGGAGACTGCTCTAAGCCAGGATGTTTGATGGCTCCCTCACGGCCTCTCTTTTTGCTCACTAGCCTGTCACCGTTGTCAAAGGATAGTATGAGACAAAACAGAGATGATTATCAATGAGAGTAAAGAGGAGGAGGATATTCACTGGAAGAGAGGCCATTGCAGTGTGCTGGCTCAAGGACCAAACCAGAGAAGAGAGGTTCTTAACTCCACAAAAGAAATTGCAAATTGCGTTGGTTTGGTCACTGAAGGCTGATTCAAAGGTCATAAAGGTTTAGTGTGATGCCAAAGCACTGTAATGCAGTTTCAATCGTAAAAATGTTAGTTGTGATTTAAAAAAACAAAAATAAATTTTTTTAATATTACTTCTTTGAATCCAGATGGATAGTGACTTGTTAGTCTTGAGCACAGGTAGACGCAATTTCCATAGAAAACTGAGTGGTATGTACAATGTGCAGTTCAAAACATATCACTAAAACATAGAAATGAGAAATTAAACCATGGTTAAGGGCATGACATGACTAGATGACATATTCTATATTAGAACTATATTCTAACTTCAGTGGTTCAGGTTATGTTTTCAAAATTTAAAACTCAAAATTCAGACACCATAATGTTCTGCCTTTCCTGCATTTTCCTTCTCCTCCACCTCCTCTGCTATAATTTGCTGTCCTTCTCAAAAGAGACTTTCTCTTCTTATTTATTATTTTTCTTTCATATACAGCCCTTCACTTAGCCTGAAGTCCAGAATAAAATCCTCTCTTCATATTGAAATTAAAATGCCATTGAATAAATTGGGCAAGAATGGAAAGGGATTTACAATTTTTTCAGACATTTCTTTGTTAAGTAGGATAAAAATATTCCTAAGAATTCTAGCCAGAACCTGCACGGTGTTTCTGCTGCGATCAACTCCATTCTTTCTCTGATTTGCTAGGCTGTGTCTGTGAGCAGCCATTACGGCAGCTTTTGCTCCCTGTCGGATTTTGAAACAGGTAAATATATTTCAGCTACACTGTATGGCCAGATTGGAGTCACCTGCCAAGACATGAGGGAGTGGCATAGCTCAGGGGTCCCTTTCTCTAAGGATGTGATGGGATACCCAGTGCAGTTCTGAGTGGACACTCTCAATAAACCACTTTTGTGTTACATACTGGATTCTGGATCTGTTTTGCAGAGACTTCAGAAATGGCAAGGAGAAATGGTTTCAGCAGGGGATGAGGGGCTTTATGACTTTTCCCAAATTATTCCCTTTTTAGTAGCCATCACCTTGTCGGATAACATCTGGAATGATTAGAGGACGATATTTTAGACTGACAACTGGGCTGTCATTCACACTGTCAGCAAACATCCAGGTTGCCCAGGGTTACAAAGCTAGTTTATGCCTTTGTCCTGTAGTATTTAGTGCTGCTGATTCTTTACCTTGATTTCAGATGAAGCAGTTCTGACAGCCAGTGCCAGGGGCAGGCAGAGAGCTCATCTTGATGGTGGGAGTCCCGTAGTGCTTTTGTGTGCTGTGGTTTTAGAGCTTCCGTGGCAGCCCATAAGGCAGGAGACAACCCCAGAGTATTGGGGTGGGTCTAGTAAGTTCATCTGCTTTCAAAAAATAGAAGGGCAATGTTTATCTCTGCCCTAGGAACACACCTAATTATTTTAGACTTATGTACCTGAATGGAAGCTTTCTTACAGAACCCAGCTGTCAGCAGACTTATTATCCTAAAACAGACCTGAAAACAAAACTGCTCAAAGCAACCTTGTGGTCCAAGGACGAGCAGACCCTGTGCATTCGTCAGCAGGCATGAGAGCATCCTCACCAAATTAGCATCAAGATTAAATGTGCTCCACAACAGCAACTGCACGTTGCTCAGGCATTCCTCAATACACAGTTTAAATGCTGTTTCACTCACTCACTCACTCACTGTCTGTGCACACCCCTGATCAAAACAAAGACCTCTGACTTTCCATGTATCAGTTTGGGAACCCAGCTTTGGGCACTAAAATTCTGGTTTTCAAAGGGAGAAATACCCTACAGTTGCCAATGTTGTGATCACGTACCAGCTCTGATACTCAAGACCTAGAACACGGTAATCAGGAACCCAAGAACCAGAGCACCACAGACAGCTTGCCTGCAGCTTTTTTTTTGCATTAACACAAAACTAGTATTTCCTACAGACTTACTGAGGGAAGGGAATTTTCAAAAAGCCTAATAATTTTAAACTAACAAATGAGCTGATAAATTGAGATAAAGAATGACTAACATTCAGTTTGTTATCAGTAAGAAAGAAAGTAACTCACTATTATTTTGGTTCCAGACAGGTAATAGTAAAAGCCATCCTACTGCAGTGTTCCATGGACCAGTTTAAAACTCACAGCGTGTGTCTGTGACATCTGCCTTCTGCAAACGGGTTTGCAGCCTTGTCCTCAGAAAACAGAAAATGAAAGACTGTGCTCAAAGCAAATTTGCTTAAAAAATCAATAAAAATGCCTTAAAACACTGTGAGAAGTTGCATAGCCTGAAGGCAAGGAACTCCTTCAGTAATGTTTCTAGCTAATGTTTCTGAAGCATGCAAAAAAGTAATAAAATTCCATAAACAAGTTGGAGAAACAGGATGACTATTTTTGCCTGACGTATGTATCCGAGATCATAATGCCTCTACACAGGGCTGTATTCTGTATTCTGCCTCCTGTGTACCTCGTTCCTGGTGCTCTACCAAAAGATGCTTACAAATTACAGCAACAGAGAAGCTAAAACTAGAATTAAACAGGCATGTAGATCTGTGTGGACATGGAGCTAAAACAAAATGAGAAAAAAAATCTCTTTGAAAAATGCTTTGGTAGTTTTGTTCTGGAACTCAAGCCAACAACCTTCTATAGAGCAACAGGAAAGCAAGCAAATCACTATAATTTATTTATACTAACTTTTTAAATAGTTCACTCTGATTCTTTTCGAGTACCATCTCACAAACCTGGTTGTTAAGTATAAATTAAAACTATTCAAAAGGTAATATTTGGAAAGCACTTTTGCATCCACAGATGAATGCTGCTGTATAATATGAACGTTGACATATTTGACAAGGCAACAGAGTTAAGTGTGATACAGAGTCAGACTAAAGATTTTTTTTCTTGTCTGAAAAGCCCTTGTTTTGTTACTAATATTAGAGCTACAGAGGCCTATTTGACAAAAAGCACCTCCTAATTTGAGAGCTGTAGCTCTTAAGCTCCATAGTAGCAGCTATTTACCTGGTTGGCTCACTCTTCACAAAATGTGCCCATTAAGCTCAGGGGATAAAGCCAAAAAAAAAAAGCTAACCACTCTACTGAGCATGACTGAACAAGAGACTGTGCTGGTATGTGTTTGATAAGAGATAGCAGAGGAAAAGGAGATAAACCTTGGACTTTGAGACAGGAGATAAACATTGTCTATTTAGAACAATAAGGAAAACTATTATTTATTTTATTGGGAATAACTCATAGTAGCACAAATTCTGGTTGCAGGTGTTTGGAGGATTTTCCCTGAGGGAAGGTTTTATGTATACATAAGTACATACACAACACCAGTTTATGTCAAGGGAATTTATGCATGCACTCTCAACCGAGAGTAAATTTTAGCCCTTTTCTTATTCACTGATGTTGTACAAGCATTTTCCCAGCTTGGCAGGGCTAAATTAAATTGGGCAACGTTCTGTGTGTGTTTGATGTCTGCTAAATGAAGTGAGCGTCCAATTCGTCATATTTACTCAAGCTCACTCAACTCTGGTAAAAATTAAAATGTTCCAGTTAATTTAACGAGATAATTCAGCTCTCTCAAATCTTTCTTGCTCAACATTTGTTGCTATTTAGAAGTCGAGGGTATGTGCTGCCATGTAATTCTTTGAACAGGTCTGAGAACTCAGTAACAAACAGTAGACATTCAAGACACTGGACTGACATTATGTTTAATCTCAAGCAAGTTCCCAAGCTGCCACTTGAGAGGAGAAGTCAGACCCTTTGGGCTCATTATTTAGAGAAGAAGGGATCACACACAAAAAGCCACGGAATGTTTAGGAAAAAATCAGGGTGCCTATGGTAGCAGTTGGAAGATGAGAAGTAAAAGACTGCCACATTGAGTACACTGGATAAAAAATATAAAGTAGGCAAGGGCTCCAAGAACCAAAATAATCAAAGTATCCACACAAAAAGCTCCTCATGCTTGATACTTGGAAATAACAGTTCTGTCTTGAGGTGAATACGTGTCTTGATCTTGCAACTCTGTTTTATGTCAACACAGACAAAGAAGCCAAAACATCGTGCAATATTAGTAGGACATATGTGCTAAAGTCCACTGAACTTAATACTTAATGAAACAAACCAAGACTGAGAATTTACAATTGGCCATACCTGTAATGCTGAGATTTACTCCCAGGAGCTTGTACCGTTGTCTCTCTGCAAACCAGCACCACCAGATGCGATCTGTTGGCTCGAGAACAGACCCCCTCAAGGAGGACAGGAAAGATCAGCCTCCTGGTAGAGTTGGATCTCTAAAGGTAAGGAAAACCATTCCAAGTCTCACATACAGGTGCCTTCAGTCCTTCTGCAGTTTCCTGTGAGACTGTGAAAAGACAGTCACATTTCAGTAAGAATCCATTAAGCATCTTAGTAGCTTGGCAATATTCACTATGAAGAAAATGCAGATAGCTGAAATGCAAGAAGCTAGTACACAAATACAGAGCAATTTAAGCAAAATCTTGCTGGGGATTTGAGTAAAATTACAGCTATGTGCTCTTGCTGCAGAATCAAAAGCAATGCAGAACGCACCTGGTTTTGTTATATAAACCATGAGCAGCCAAAGATGGCTGTGATTCACCCTTGGAGAGATGTAGGTTAGATGGGTGAAGAGGTGCCATGATAATAAATATATTTTAATGTGCAAATATATGGGTTTTTTTCAGTGACTTTTTTTCTTCTAGTGATTCTTAAAATGTTTTCATTTAGCATCCATTCAGAAAGACAGATGACACAAATGGTATTGAACAAAACAGTATTGAACTGCAGTGAAAAAAAGCAAA